AAATCGCGTGACCACAGCAAGATTGTGCATGTGCAATAACGCGTAGGCACTCATCTCGTGTGTATGTAACAAGTGGTGTATATATGATTTCTTAAATCCAGGTGCCTCATTCGTCTTGTCAGCTTGTCCTGCCCATTGGGTTTGATCAACGGTACTATGCAGTACTGGATTGGGATCGAAAGTAGGTTCGTTGACCCATGACGATAGTCCAGTCCCGAGCGTGGTGAAGTCATCTGCAAACCGTTCCTCGAATAGGTTTAGACCGATCGCTTGTGATTTCGTGTCTTGAACAGTGGCTGCTCTGGAGACGGGGAAGTCGAAGTCTAATGCGATACCCAGATCCGCTGCTTCCGCAACCCAGGGGACATCAAACAAGTCGAATCCGGATTCGAGGATAATGCGCAAGATGGCGTGTGGTGATGGTGCTGAGTGTGCTATGCGAGGTTTGGTGGCGGTCAGGGGCTTTAGTGAGGTTTTTAAAAGTTCCGTCAGGGCATTCTGGTCGATTTCGTCCTCAGGTTCCGATGGGTTAGCCGGACCAGCTGACTCTGCGGGTGGACTAGAGTAGCAGTTGGTGGGCAAGTCGACTAGATCTACAGCATAACCCATTATGCCGTCGTCTAGTTTTCTTAGCCCTCCAGCCTTCGACGAATCCCCGCGATCGAGCTTCTCAACAAGAGCGAGGGAATATTCGTTTCGAGCTCTTGGGTCACACCCTCCCAAAAGGGATACGATGATGGGTGGCCTCTTTACTGTAGCTTCCTCACCCGCGCCTTGCTTATTTTCAGTTCTCCCTTCTTCCTCCTTTAACTCCCCCATCAGGGCTTGTAGCCATAATGTGCTTCGTTCCAGGCTTTTTGTTGTTCGCTTCTGACTTGTCTGTCGCCCTTCTCCCTTCACCACAACCGTTTCCTCTGCGGCTTTGGCACCGCCGTTCAGCAATGTCTTTGGTACATCAACAAAGGCCCAGAGGATATCCGGGCGCAATGCCTTGGACCATGTTATCCAATCCTGCACGGTCACTTTCCGGACACCACGAACGGTTTTCGCCTGCACCCAAACATTCGTATTGGCGGGCATGTTTTGGTTATCGGAAGGGTCTCGTAAAGAGAGAGAAAGAATGTGTCGGGATGGTGGATAAGTAAGAAATGTGTGTAATGGGAGAGTTGCTGGGTGCAGTGCGGGGACTGGCGTTGGGTG